TCTCTCCACAACATGGAAGCTCATGTCAGGCATCACTGTGGCTAAGATAAGTGGGCACATGAATTAATACATGAGTGCAGCACAGAAGGGTATCGGCAAAAACACCAGGGGAGCCAAACACCAACTCCTGGTTGACCGAACAGTCGCCCGCGACTGCCTGGATTGATTACAAGAAAGCCTATGACTCAATGCCACACACATGGATCACTTGAAGCTGTACAATATCAACAGGACTCTAAGGGCGTTCATTGCGAACTCGATGCGGTTGTGGAAAACCACCCTTGAAGCCAAGGGGAAGCCACTTGCACATGTGTCCAGCATCTACTGTTCTGCATAGGCCTGAACCCCCTCAGCCAAATAATCGACCGCACTGGCTATGGATACCGACTCAAACGGGGCCACCATCAGTCACCTCCTCTACATGGATGACATCAAGCTGTACGCTAAGAGTGAGCGAGACATCGACTCACTGATCCACACCACAAGGATCGACAGTACAGACACTGGGATGTCATTCGGGCTTGAGAAATGTAGCAGGATTGTGACAAAGAGAGGGAAGGTAGTCCACACAGAGGGGGTGTCACTCCCAGAGGGAACAATAGCAGACCTTGAGGACAGTTACAAGTACCTTGGTATCCCACAAGCAAATGGCAACCTTGAAGAGGCAACAAGGAAAGCGGCTACGGCCAAATACCTGCAAAGAGTGAGTCCTTAGAAGCCAGCTCAATGGCAAGAACAAGGTGCAGGCAATCAACAGCTACACCCTGCCAGTGATCAGATACCCTGCAGGGATTGTAAGCTGGCCAAAGGAGGAGATACAGACCACAGATGTTAAGACACGAAAGCTCCTGACCATGCATGGAGGGTTCCATCCCAAATCCAGCACCCTGAGACTGTACGCAGGCCGGAAGGAAGGGGGCCGAGGACTAGTGAGTGTGGGAACCACTGTCCAGGATGAAACATCCAAGCTGCTTGAGTACATCAAGGACAAGGCCCCAGCAGATGAGGTGCTCAGAGAATGTCTCAGACAGTGGGGTCCAGAGGAAGAGGTGCTGGAGGGACCATCATGGCAGGACAAACCCCTACATGGGGCGTACCACCGGAACATAACTGAAGTGGCTGATATCAAGAAATCCTACCAATGGCTTGAGAGGGCTGGTCTGAAGGACAGCACAGAGGCACTGATCCTGGCTGCTCAGGAGCAGGATCGGCACTCGAGCAATAGAGGCCCAGATCTACCACACCAGACAAGACCCACGGTGTAGACTGTGCAAAGAGGCTCCTGAGACAGTCCAGCACATAACTGCAGGGTGTAAGATGCTGGCAGGGAAAGCATAGATGGAGCGACATAACCAAGTGGCGGGCATAGTGTACAGAAACATCTGTGCAGAGTACGGGCTGGAAACCCCAGGATCAAGGTGGGAAACACCTCCAAAGGTTGTGGAGAATGACCGAGCCAAGATCCTGTGGGACTTCCAGATACAGACTGACAGAATGGTGATGGCGAACCAACCAGACATAGTGGTGGTGGATAAGAAACAGAGCAGAGCCGTGGTGGACATCGCAATACCAAGCGATGGTAATATCAGGAAAAAGGAACACGAGAAGCTAGAGAAATACCAGGGGCTCAAGGAAGAGCTGGAGAGAGCCTGGAAAGTAAAGGCATCAGTGGTGCCTGTGGTGATCGGAGCACTCGGGGCTGTAACCCCCAAACTGGAAGAGTGGCTTCAACAGATACCGGGAAAAACAATGGACATCTCAGTCCAGAAAAGTGCAGTACTGGGAACAGCAAAGATACTGCACAGAACTCTCAAACTCCCAGGCCTCTGGTAGAGGACCCAAGCTGAGTGAGGGTGAGAGAGACCTACCACCGTGGAAGGTGAGGAACACATTTTTTTTATTTTTATATATATATATAATATATTATATATTATATTATTATTATTATTATTTTTTTTTTTTACCCCAAAATTTAGTTGAGGTGCAAACGAGCCACGTAACACAAGGAGACAAAAACAAAGACCTAGCACCTTGTGTAACGCTGGTAAAGGACCAAAATTTACACAGTGACAGTATAAAGAATACACTTAACATAACACATATGGTTGTAGTAAGTCCTCAAAGGATCTTTTTCTCACAAAGTTAGGAATCACCAATAACACCTCAGTACTGTTGTCAAAAGTAAAATGTATTACATTAGAACCTGGACCACAGTGGCCATATGTACTTTGCACATGTGCCTGATCCAGACCTTAAAGGTGATCATTAGCGCCAGTCTGTGTTATGAAATTGGCCTCTGGAGATGCAGGCCCAGCACATGGGTCTTTTAAGCCTGTTCTCTGGACTTTCTGTACCTCCAGCTCGATCATTGACAGCTCCTCGCTCCCCACTGCCGGGCTAATCCTCTCTCAACCAGCGCTTTAATCACAGACACTATCAAACCACCTCCTAATGAGCTGTTACTATAGAAACAGCCACAGTTAGCATTAGCCACCAAACAGCCAAATCTTAAGGAAAAAGCCCTGCATGGTATTTAAAGTTTGTTTCTTCATATGTATTTCTTCCTGTTATCCAGTGCAAGTACGCAAGACAGTGTATTGAGAAACTACAACCACTATAAGCTAAGCAACTTGCCTCAAAATAGTACATATAAAAATCTAATAAGTGTAAAAATTACACCATTGATGCAAACATATTGATTGATGATGGTGGATTCAGAGCATCAAGCCATTGGGGAAAAAAGGCAAAAGTTTGCAGTGCACTGATTTGAAGGTTATTCTGTGAATGAATGAACTTGATGATGATATCTCACTTCCATATGGAAAGTTTATGATGATGAGAATGCATAGGCATGGGAAGTGGGGTGTTATGGGAGCTAAAGCCCCTTTGCTCAGAGCCTCAGCCCCCTTCCTGGAGGCTGTGGGTTACTGCATTAGATATTGAAGCTTACTTGCATTACTCTAAGATAATGCAATATAGGTCTAATATTTTTCTTCAAATGTTGCCTTTTGGTTCAACAAAGATGTTTCTCATTTCAGTGTTTTTGTGTTTTATGACAGGTATTTTGTACTTTTTGAGTTGCACTGGTAGATTTTTAACCCAGACTTCTTTTCTGCAGTGGATCTTGCAGGTTAAAGTGGTCTATCCATTAACATTTTCAGGTTTTGAGAAGAGAAGGTGAATTTCTGCACAATTTATTTTTTTGACGCCAAAGCTATAAGCAGTGATGGCAATGGAGTCTACATAAAACACACGTCTCCACCTACAATAGACACATCCACCAAGTATCTCTGGTGAAAACATTTTTATACACAGACAGACCAGCAGCCATAGATCAGAGTAGTGATGTAATATAGAGGTTAAGTTCAGAAAATATGAGGTTAAGCTCAGAAAAGCCTGGCTTACATGCACAAGGATACACAGCTTCATTTATGACAGTGAACAAAATTACACATGCTTACAGTCACAATATTTTACAGCTGAATACTCACAAAGGAAGAACTTAAACATGCCAAGTAAAAAAGGAATGGAAAGGACTGCATCACTTAGGCATCCATCTAAAATAATAATTTTTAAAAAGTTCGATTCTTAGATGGTATGGGGAATTTTGATGTGAAGTTTGCATGTTGTCCTCATGTCTAGATGGATTTTCTCTCAGGACTCTGGTTTCCCCCATCAGTCCCCCATCGAAAGTACTCCCCACCGAGCCTAGCTCAAGATCTGATTGGGTCGGATATGCTGACATGCTCACTCTCTATGAGAAGGGCTTATGTCACACATTAGTGGTCCCACATTTGAGCATGTTTACTCTCCTAAAACACAATAGAAATATGCTAGCTAACTGTTTGTACTGTCAACTTTTGCGCTACTTGGATGAAAATCTGAGTCTTTTGCCACTAAACCTTTTGGGTTATGAAGTGTGCAGTGATGTGTTCAGAAGATGTGTCAGAGCCAAGCTCATTGGCCAACTTTGCCCCAGAGCCTGATGCCCAGTGAAGCTGTGTTTACATCCACCTGCATGATTAATATCAAAGATGTCTCAAATCCCTGCAACCATACCATAACCAGTTGTGTGTTCATCCTGCACAGGTAATACACGGGTAAGCTGGTAACCCCCTGTATGCTACATTATACGATACAGATGCACAGAGGAGTCAAACTTCAACCTAACTTAAAAAAAAAAAAAAAAGCAAAGATTTATATCAAAACCTGAAAATCAAGACCTGCTTTAGTTGCTCACTGCAGTAGATTACCTGACGGTCATTTTTTTGATAGTGTGATACTTGTTCTTGTTTGACATCTACTTTTTGTGATTTGAAATTCATACAGTCTTTGTTCAGTGCTGGTTGTAGTTGGGAGTGATACTGAAGTTACACTTGTTAAATATTCACTGTGTTTCAGTAAAAGTACAACCAGAATGGGTAACTTAAGGACAACTTAACCAAGTTTAAAACATATGAGCATCTCTCCATGATATTTTTTTTTATTCTATAATCAGTTTTGTTGGTTTCATTTGTTTTCAGAATCAGAATCAAAATATTTGTTTTGGTGATATGGTGCAAGTTGTAACAACGTATAATAACAGTAAATAAAAACTATGGTAAAATAAAGAATAAGGGCATGGATTAAAAATAAGGTAAACAAAAACTAGTCTTAGACTGAATACATATTCAATTTACACAGTATGGTTTTAGTTAGATCGGTCAACCCAAAGTCTGAGGCTCATATTGCTTTCTGATAATCAGCTAGATAACCAAAACATAAAATAAAACGATCATCAACATGGCTGTCATGATTTTGGGGACACAGATAGGAAATGTTTATGAAATTTTGAATATTATATGAATTCAGGTTAATGGAATTGTTGGTGATTTGAACCATGTGCTGTCTCAGAAACCAAGGGGAACTAAGTTCTTCCAGGCATTTTTATCTGAGACAATGATCTGCCTGTCTTGTCATCCATTTACACAACTCACATGATTTAAGACTGGCCAGAGCCCAGACTTCTACAGAAAATCATGGGCAACACTAAGATCTTATTGATGCTGCTGACCCATTCTTTCCTCTCAGATGAGGGAGAATCCACACCAGAAACTAAACTACTCTCATTGCACCAGACCTGTGATTTCACTGATGTACTTACAAGGATGAGCGCTGAACTGGCTGAACAGAAAGTGAAGATGGAGCAGCTGCGGGAGGAAAACCAGGGTAAAACATTACAGAGAAAATAATAATAATATTTTAAATTTAAAATGAAAATGCTGCTTTTTATTTGTTACCAAGAATTTCTTACCAAATCTGTAAAATTGAGAACCTATATTTTAATGTACCTTCTATGTATGTGAATTCAGTATCAATTCAAAGTGTGAACCCTTTTCTGTTTTTGTTTTGCCATTGTTAACTTCTGTTTTTAATTGTTCTTTTGACTTGAAAGATGATTTAGAAGATTTGTTCCCTAAATTACTTTTCTTTAAGGCAGAAATGTAGCTAATATGACTTCTTTACTGTTAAATTAGCTCAAGTGGCTGAACTGAATGCCCTGAAGGCCAGGTCCACCGTCACTGAAAGCAAAGTGGAGGCTCTGACTCAAGAAAGGACAGGTACGGTTCAGAGCATGTTGTACTTTTTCAAAACTGCAAAACAATGAACAAAAAGATGGAAAAAAAAAATAATAATCTAAGTAAAGCCACAAGCAGCAATGACGGCCCTCACACCCGGGTACACATCCTCCCATGCGTTGTCCTAAATTGTACCCACCTCTGAATTGCGACTGTCCCAGCTTGGCATTCTCCCTTCCTGACCGCTACCTCAGCCTGTTTCTACAGTGTAGCGTGCAGTTGCTTTGTAATGGTGGGCTCCATGGCCCATAATTGATGTTTTTCAAACAGAGTAACTTAAATAATGTTTGTGTCAATTTTCAAATACTTAGCACTTTGCATCCATGATTCATAGAACCATAGTTACATACATAACTCTCATTATATTTATCTGGACCAAAACCACATCACTAGATTTATAAAAACACAGTGAAATTGATGACGGAATTTCAATCCAATATGGCTGACATCCTGTTCATCATAGAACAGTGTGCCAAAATCATTTTTTTGCTTGTCTCATGATGTTCTATCACTGTTTTGAATTTTGTCAGCCAGGGGCATATACAGGAAAAACAAAACAAAAACAAACAAATTTTTATCCTCCCCATCCCATTCTTGTTGGTGGTGCTGCTGTATTAAGCTTTAAAAGTGAATTATGAATTTAATTTGAGTTAGCCAGTGTATAAATGACACAAATTTCAACCCAGCCGGAGTAAGCATGTGCATGTAAGACTTTTAAAAATGTTTTTCCTTTGCACCCTTGCTGGCCAATCATGAAAAATGCCCTATGTACTTAGTAGATTTTCTTTCTTCATCTCATACATAGAATTTAATCCCCATGTTTCGTGCAAATCATATAATGCTGATGAAAATAACAATGTTGGAGTGCTGCACTGGATCAAAAACTTACACATACAGGTGCTCATCAAACCGGAGGGCTTAAATTCTTGTAGAGTGGAAAAAAAGGATGGCAGAGGCATTCTGATTTGCGGTGAATTTATAAATGTTTTAAATATCATGTATCTGGGGTCACGACCCCTATAAATAGTCACACCTGCCACTCACTCAATCAATCCTGATGAAGACTATAGTCGAAACGCGAATTCACTGCAAATCAGAGTGCCTCTGTAATTTCATAAGGAGTATCCCAAAAAAAGGTATGGCATGCTGAATTTGAGCTAATTTGGACCAAAAACCTAGGAGTAGATACATTTCATAAACACTCGATGGCCAATTTCCTGTTCAACATAGAGGAATGCTTAAATTCATTTTTAGGCTTGTCTCATGGAGCTCTATCACTGCTCTAAATTATGCCTGGCTCCTCTCCCATAGGCCTCCACTTCTAGTGCCACTGCTGAGTCAGTGGGCAGTGGGTTAATAAATAAATAATAATTCCAGCATTTAATAAAAATTATGCATTTCTTTCCTTTGATTCAGTTCCAGTTCAGTCAATACAGGAATAGCCCATTCTGTCTATAGAAATTCACAATAAAAAGAATATCCAAACATAGTATCACTGAAAATACTCCTTTGGTAAAGAAAAAAATTGTCAAATGTCAAATTTTACTACCAATAAATTAATCATGGGTGAAAAAAGATACTTTTTTTTTTTTATATACCAAATGTTTTTTTCTCTGTTCCAGTCAAGCATGTGGCCTTTTCTACTGCGTTAATTGATTCAGGTGAAAAGACTCTTGGACCTTTCAATGCAGAAACTACTATTGTCTATAAGCATGTGGCCTCAAACATTGGAAATTACTACAGTACTGAGACAGGTAAATAAGCCTAAACATCACTGTATGACACAACTTTATAATGCTGTTCAAACTCTCCTTTAGGTATGTTCACTGCCCCGGTCAGAGGAGTGTACCACTTTGAGATTTTTGCACTTTCAATGGGAGACATCCCTGTAGATGCATATTTGAGGAAGAATGGGCAGGGTGTTTTTATGGCACATGAGTCCCAACCATCTGGGCATGGCACTGGGGGCAACGCAGTCACACTGCTTCTGGAGGCTGGAGATGTGGTATACGTCACTTTGCCTCCTAACCGCAGACTTTTCGACAACAAGAATCACCACAACACTTTCAGTGGTCACCTGCTGTTCACAATGGAAAACTCAAACTAAGTCTTTATAGTTAAGACATGCAAATCAATGAAAACCGATATACAATACTAATTTAATTTGCTATATCTAGATCAGACCAGTCCCTACATGAGACTATCCCAACAGTTGTTTGGGATAAGCTGCGATAAAACCATTGTAAACCGTGGACCACAACTACCTGTCTGTGTCTGGATTTGTTTTTAACCTTGCTCACTGAACCCCAAGCCGCTCACGGTCAACCTACACCACAACCATCATTATTATATATACTAAATCATTGAAAATAACTTAAATAAAATAACCTATCATAAAATAAATTACATTACAGACTTGTATCTTGTATCTTTATTTTTTCTCCAACCAGTAATATGGTTTGGTTACTTCAGTGTCCCAGCATTATACAGAGCCCAGGTAAATGGAGAAGGAATCTGGCATAAATAAAATACACAAAAAACATATTCAAATGAACTTCGAGATCCAAGGCTTCTGTAATGTTATTAAACTCTTTCTGTGCTCAAAACACTTGTACACAGGTTCAGTGTTACATCTGTCAATCTACTGCTCCACTTGTCTACTAGTAACAAGTACAATGCAACATCATGTTTAAGAGCTGTTCAAACACACTCTCTTGTTGATGTGGAGCACCATTAAACATTTAGATCAATGTTGCAGAACAAGGTGAAGCAATTTCAAATGACTGGTTAAATCTCAAGGATCATTAAAATTACATAAACCTTAAAAAAAAAAAAAAAAAATTCTGAAATTAATTCTTGGTTCCCTTATCTTACTCTTTGAGGCAATATATTTTGAGTGACTTATGCATGCTTTAGCAATCCTGTACTGTCCTGCATTTAAATCAACAATTCTCAGAAAAAGAAGTATAGAAGTAAAGAAAAAAGAAGTATAGAAGTTTCATCAACAAAAATGTATTTTCAGTTTCAGTCTACACTAGTTTTGGCCATAAAAGCTTAGAGCAGATGTTGTAAAGTAGACTTGGCATAGCCCACACAAATTCAAGGAGCTATTTTCTAACTTTGATTGGCAGCTGAGTTCCTAAAGATGGTCCTCTGTCAGATTTCATTATAAATTAGTGCATTTTAAAGCGCTGAGTGACTATTTGTGGCGGTACTTAAGTGGGAGAGATATCCCTTTAGCACTACTTTATACATCCGCCAATCCGCTTAATCTAGGTTTAAACCATCAATCCTTACTTTGTACAAGAACCCCCACTCTGTGCTTCACACCAACACAGATTAAGATGAATTATGTAATCAAGTATAATTTTATTTATATTAAAAAGAGTCAGAAAATATTGTGTGCACACTGAAATAAAGTTAAGAATGGTATACAGATGTCACTGCATTTTTATGTGCATTTCTTCATTAAAGGTGCATTCTGTAACTGTTCTTGCTTATCATCTCAGAAATCTTACTGCTTTGTCAGAAATGTTCTACAACATGCATGTATGGGTGTTACCTAACCAAATTGCAAGTCAGATCTGTGGAGAGGTGACCCTACTCACAATAAGAAGATATTTTTGAGCAATAAAAAAAATGTAAATAAATATAAGTTGAATGTCATACTGTGGAACATTCTATACACAGCAATAACATCTCCATATATACAAGTCAGTGGTGAATCTCCATCAGAAAAGTTACACAGTGCACCTTTAATTGACAGAAAATCATGCCAGAATGTTCTCATACGTAAACATTATATTTTGCAGCAGATTGAGCTGTGTATGTTAACCATATCGTAATCATAAATATCTTCTTTGCACTTTTCAGACTTTCTCGCATATCTATAATGTCAATCTGTTACTTTCAAAACTCCTACACCACGCTGAATCTGCTCTGCACTGCCACTGGGTTCACAAGTACAGCAGATGAATTGTCTTATTAACTGCAAGACACAGCCCATGGATCCTTTTTTCCCCCATTTATTCCTTTTCCAGCCAATTCCCCCCCATCCATTTCTCTCCGTTCGGGCTGTTTCATTTGATTTATCGTCCCTCTCTGCCCTCCACTCCACCACTTTACCATCTACAGCCTCAGAACAGCAGAATTTCACTTCCTGAGTCGTGTGTGCAGCCAGAGACACTTATATTGGCCCCTTCTCATGATCAAAACCACACATTTTCCATTGTCCCAAGCCAAGACGCCAATGCTTTCAAGTGCGTTGCAGTCCCCCGAGGGATGTTGTGTATTTGGACAAGCTGAATTGGTGCCAAGTGCACTGCTGGGACCATCAGCTGTGAGGAGATGTTGAATTATATGGACTAAAGCCTGAATGTGGACCACAGCTGATGAAGTCCAGGCCTTCTCTATATAAACACTGATTCATTAAACTCAAAAGACCTTTGTCCTGCATCACTTTGTCTCTACTGTTACCGTAAGCACTCCATATATTTCGCATTTAGGAACTAAAATGGTTTCTCCCAACGATTTGGTCATGTGCCCTTTTTAGTTTTTACACAAGGAGTTTTAAAGGGGAACAATGTAACTTTTGTGATGGAGGATCCTGCCATGAACAGATATGCTACGTATCTGTGTGGAGACAAGCAGCTGATACCACCAAAGTCATGAATAATAAAACCATTTATATTTTATAGTGACAGAATGTTTGTATTTTTACACTTCTGACATTAAAATAGCTGTCTAGTTCTGCATTATGCACAGCTCTGAGGCTCACCAGGATGACAGCAGGAACAGCTGTGCTTATTTAAAGCTTTACCCACAATGCATGTCTCTTATCTCTGTGTGTGAATGTGTTTTTGCTTGTGCGTGACCCCTCCGCCACGTGGGTATAGTGCTTATGCTAACGTGTACCTGACTATGCACACACCCACAGCATTATTATTATGGAAACAGAAAAATATGTCTTAAGATTGCCAATATTAATGTACTGTATTATTCTATGGCTACATTCTTGGTTGCTGCTTGACGGTGGATCTGCCTTGGTATGATAGTGAAATCCAACAGTGCGTTAGTGTGTTCCAGTGAGCTGTGTGTACATTAGAGCGCATGTGCGATTGAGCCAGTGGGGACAATCATCACGGCTCGTGCCCACAGTAGGCAGCCTTTCCCTGGGGGGCCGTGACTGAGGCGGCCCTGATGTGATGCTGCCTGACTGGATGTGGAACCTGGATACGTTTTCTTCCCCTCCCTCGCTCTCAAACATGAACATGGACGATGTAAAATAAACATGAATGCATAAATACAAAGAGCAGACATGCGCAGATAGAGGTTGGTGAGCAATGTGGAAGAGGAAGCCCTGTTTTCAGATGTTGTAACACTAAGAATGACTCTGTATGTAACAATATGCAGCAATCAGATAATACAAGAAAAATATTTACAACATACAAGTAAAACTAGGACATAGCTTTTGTGCTGTAAATGTTTTCATACTATAAAAGAAGTGAAACTACAGTCCATTAACCGTGCCTTTCAACCGGATTAACCTGGAGAACCTACATGATTAGTGTTTCTATGGATACTTTACAACTAAAGATCCAGAATAAAAACTATATAACCTTAATGTATATATCTATGCTTGTCATATCTTGTATTTATTGAATTACTGTTGAATGCATTGCTCCAAAACATACAGAAAAACATGTGCTTCCTGTTGTTCGCAGGGTTGCCTCTCCACAGACCCAACCTGTAACTTGAGCTGCTGCTGTCACCCATATGGAAAAACTCAAACTCTGACCCCTTTATGCAATAGTGCAGAGCATTGCCACATAAGATAAACAGAATATCAACAAAGTATAACTAACAGCACAGCTGAAGTACAACAGAAAAACAGTGTCTTATGCCTGTAGTGTGATCACTGATGCATCGATGTTACTTCTCATATAACTCATAAAGAGAACACAAAACTTAAAACTCATGAAAAAACTGGTGTTTTAAACTAAAGTGAATACATGAACAATTGGGAAAGATAAGTATTAAACCCCAGACCCCAGTCTGCCATGTTCAAATCCAATGCCTTACCTAATGAGCTGTCCCTCCACATATAGCAATAGTCTACTCAACAGTACAGTTATGTGCTGAACTCTGGAATTTATACTAATATACCGGGAAAATTCTTTGGCTCTGGAGTGTTTAATTTTGTTTCATCAGCCACATCAAAAGCAAAATAATAATAATAATAGTTATACACACACACACACACACACACACATATATATATATATATATATATATATATATATATATATATATATATATATATATATATATATATATATATATATATATATATATATATTTATTTTTTTTTTTTTTTTTTTATTGCTGTTTGTGCAAAAAAAAAAAAAAAAAGAAAGAAAAGAAAAATTAAAAGAAACACATTTTTTAAATTGTTGGTTCTACTGTTGGATAGTCTACCACCATGCATCAGAAAAGTTACATAATGCATCTTCAAAGAAACATTTAAGCTTAAAATAAGACAGATGATATAGTGGGTCTAGTGACAGCCCTTCAACTATGGGCAATTTCAATCTCAAATTGTATTAAATTACTGTAAATGTGCTTGTTTTTAAACATCCAATCTAAACATTTTATATTGTGCGTATATTCTGAGCAATTAAAAGGCAATTTCCTTCCAGTGTTGGATTCCCTGATGGCAAACAGTCCCAACAGCAGCAGTAGTGATGTGGCGTTTTGTTGCACGGAGCAGGTACCTCAGTGTGCCTCTGTTCCTGAGTGGGCTGCACTGTGTGAGCGCTGACACTAAGTCGACATGACACAAGCAAATAATGTCTGCTCCCGTTATCTTCTGCCCCCCCACGGCCGCCAGCAACCTTTAAAGGGCCAAGCGCTCATTAAAACACATGCACATACATGCCATATGGAGGTTAGACAACAGATGAGAGATAATGGGGTTTCTCTGGAATACAATGCAGTTTTTTATGTGGATATTATAATGTGCAGCTCCTGCTAAGCTGAATGAGCCACATTGATCAACATTACTCAAGCTGACTCCTAAAGAATGCATAGTTCATCCAGTATCCAGTTACAGTCTTCTCAAGTGGTCAAAAAATGATACCCACTAAAGGTAGTATTGAACCCATATACCCACTTGAGCAAGTATCGATCCTACAGTGAAGTTGGACCTTTACTCTATAGCTTGTTGTTAGCTTAGCTTGTTGATCTATAAAAAGTAGTATAAAAAAGTATATAAAAGTAGTAAAGGGACCACTTCCATTATTCTGAGTTCAAAATGACATAATATTGTAGTAAAAATATTTTTTTTTTGTTTTGTTATGGTGTCAATGTTGGTCTTGAGTATCCAGATTTTCCCTTCATATCAAAATTGAGGTTGAAACTACACTGCTGTATACACAAATTATGTACTTTCCTCCCACCAGTCCCACACGCCTTGAATGAAAGTTAATTTCATCATCAATTATTAATCTATTTTTGATAAGAAAAATTTATATATTTCTTACATGGGATAGAAAACATAACTGTACTGTTGAGTAGACTATTGCTGTCTACACTGTGACAGATTTTAAACCCCTCTCACAAAAGCTGTAAATATTTGAAGCACCAGTTGTACACGGATGTAAAGACTCCTGTTAGTATTATACACAGAGCAGTCTCAGCCAAAAGCATAGCCACTTTGTCTATACACACATTTGACCTACATCATAAGACCTAAATAATGTAACTCATAAATCAACATGCGCCATAAAGCTGAAACAAACTAATGAAACAGAACATGAGTCCGGGTACGTTTTTGATGAGGAAAAAACATTATAAGATAAATCAGAACATAACATACTATGAGTCCTGTAAGTTATCTCAAGATTAATAAAAATAAAAGTATGCTTTTTGAAATGTTTTTTTATAAATGAATTGTTTATCTTAAGTACACAATATTAATCTACTATGTATTTCCAATAGAAGCCATAGAGATTGCAAGTAGCCCAGCAACTTTGAGTCTTTTAGATGAAATATACCCTGGATAGTTCTTGGTACTCACTGGGATGACACAGAAGCATACACAAACAACAACGCCTGAGCGTGTTAATTCATTAGACAATTGATAGTCACCCAAGTCATACTCCCATCTCAGCTCATGATAGAACATGGAGGTCATAGACTTCATCATGGAAATCACTCTCACAACCCTTCCTCCCCATTCTCAACTTTCACTATGACACTATATGACCATAACCCCATTCACACATATAGAGATCCTCATTGAGAGCTCTCTTGGGTCCATGT